TCTCTCATGTTTGTTGTTTTAAGTTTATTATTTGGTATTTGTTATTTTGGGTTACTTTTTCCGGTTTGTCTGTTTTTTTTTGGACATTGTTTAAAGTAAAGCATATTTACAGGCGAGTTATTTATTTTGGAAAAACTGTAGTTTTAGTTAAAGCTGTTATTGGTAGCAGCTTTTTTATTTTCATTTTCAAATACATATGTATGTATGTGTACTGTCTACTTTAGTAAATTTTAAAGTCTTTTTTCCTTGTATAGTTGTGGTTTATTTAATGCTCTTTGCATAAATAACTAAGTTTTTATTTGGTTCATGTTATGCTCATAAAGCAACCATTTCGATTTTTTATTTTTTGAAAGGACTTCTATATTTACTTTATATATTTTTATTTTCTTTAGCTTATACTTTGTTTGTTTTTCTTGGTGTTTTTCTACAACAATATTTTTGTTAGGTTTTTTTTTTTAATGTTAAGGGATTATCTTTAGCCGGATTTTTATTTTGCCCAAAAAAATTTGTTGTTCAACCATAAGTAAATGCAAAACTTTGTAAAATTTACCAAGTTTTTTTTTTTTTGTCTACTTTTTTTGCTAAAAGCTTTTATTGCCATTGTTACTTGTTGGCAACTTTAAACAAAATATCAAAAATGTCAGTTTTTTTCTGTTTACTTTTTTCCATTTCCCGTATTCGGCATTTTTGATGTTGTTCTTCGCTTTTTTTTAGTTTTTTTCCGTTTCATATTTAAATCCCTAAAGTATATTTTCATTAAGTATTTTATCATTTTGTTTCCAGTTTTACCTGTTGTTTTTTCTCTACTCTATTTTATTTAAAAAATTTTGTTTTCTTTGGCATTTAAAATATACGTTTTTTTTTCTTAAAATATAGAAAAAAATATGTCATATTATTGCTCTAGTGGCCAGGCAACCCTCAAATGTGTTTTATTAAAATAAAAACAAAAATTTATATATATTTTTGTTTGTTTTCTAAACCTTGGGGAATACCCTAGTATGAAAAAAAAAGGAAACAATTTATAAAAATAACAAAAATGTAAAAAAATATTTAACTTAAAGAGTTTATGACAGTTGTTGAATTGGACATGAGATATGACAGTTTTTTTTAAAAAAAGAATTTTAAAAATATAAAAAAATCAATTTATAATTTTACCATGTAAGGAAAACAAATACATATGCATAAAAATATCCATTAAAATATAAAAAATCAAATATATAATTTGTCTTGATATTTTCTAAAAGAAAAAAAAAAATAAAAATATTTTGAATTTGTTTTTTTTTTATAAGTTGACTCTCTAAAATAGGCAACATCTTTTGTAAATATTAGTGCCTAAAGTGCTAGCTGTCGAAAAAGAATACAAAAAACTAAACTAAAGCATGACTTTAGGCGTAAACATATAATTCGTAAACGTTTCATAAAGTTTGAAATATTAAATTTGTTATTAAATTTTTTAAATTTATGCTACAAAATCTGCTCTATTTGTAGTTTTTCCAAATCTTGTTATTGTTTATAAGATTTTTTATACCTATTTTAAGTGGAATACAGTGTTATGTTAAAGTATTTTCAATATTCATTCACAGTCATAGGTGGAAAAATGTCAAGTAGAAATATAAACTTAAACAAAACTATTACACTATAAGAAAATTAAAAAGTCTTGGATGCAAAGGATCATAGAATATAAAAAGCATTTAAATTTACACTTCATACATCGTAGTCTTTTAAGTATGCAATCCTTTTTTAATATTCATTCATAATTCACAACATATTTATAGATGAAAAAGTTTGATCATTCTTAATTTTAATGAATTGGTCCTTCGAACCAAAACTAGGAAATTTTACAATTCGAAGAATCAAACATTATCTTTCAAAACTATTATAATACTTTTGAGTCTTTTGGCCCATTCAAACCAAAGATATAGACCAAAATTTACCATAGTACTTTTGGTCCTTCGAACTGTATTTTGATCCTACATATTTAAAATATAGTCTGTGGATGTTCATTACATATTTCAATTTTAAACCAATTCACCTTCAAGTTATTTGTCATATAAGAACAATTCTCTTCATTTGATGGAAAGTTTAATGCTGCTTCTATAATCGAAATTTCGATCCATTTGGATTTACTATACCATAATATATTAACAGCAAATACGAAATATTCAAATAAAGTGTTCGATTTCAAAACGATCCAGCGATTTTGTTGAGATATTTAGATTTGGTCTTTCGAACCGTTAATTTATTTGTTGTATTTACATCAAGGTAGGTAGATAGGTAGGTTACGTGCGTTGCTCGCTAGCAAGCAAGTTCACTCGCAGGCCTCGTGGCCCATTCCCTAATATTGAGAGAATGGTTTCCCTCCCTAATTTCGTTGACTACTTGGTTCGTTTGGTCTCCGTGTAAACCAGCCGGAGCTTTTAATAAAACCGATGATGTTTATTAGTGACGCAACTCTGAGACAGTCTAGATCATGGAAAAGAGCTCTACCAAGATAGTGTAGTCTGTGCTCTTGTAAGCCTTTGCAGTCACATAGAAGGTGTTGTACCGATTCCACTTCTTCTTCTTCGTCCAAGCAGCTTCTACATTAACTATAATTTGGTTAGCCCATACGTTCCGACATATGTCCAATCATACAGTGCCCAGTAATTTATACCAGTTAGAAGCCTAATCGAGTTCTTACTTAGAGACAAGAGAGTCCTAGTCCTATCTGTTGTTAGAGTAGGCCATAGCAGTCTCGATATTCTAAAAGTGGTGATTGTTGACCACCTGAGTTCCGTCTCACTCAAAGCCCATTCATCTATCAATTTTGATAGGGTCGTCAGAAGAGTGTGAGTATCCTTTTGCGCAAGGGTTAAGTTTAGGGACGACCCTTTGTTTTCACATTCATCAGATATTTCATTTCCCCTGATGACCTCATGTCCTGGAACCCATATCAACTCAACGTGATGTTGTGTCAGTTGTGCCAATGATTGAATACAATTGAGAAGACAAGAGCTCCGTAGGTCAGAATAGGTCTTATAACCGCAGTGTACATCTAGTGCACAATGTATGGTTTATGACCCCATCTTTTCCCAAAGGTTTTCTTACATATATAGAAGGCACATTCGACTCTCAGCATTACGTTTCCATGTGAGCTTAGAGTCTAAAATTACACCAAGATCTAAAATTACGGAGTTCTGAATTCTGGAATTTTGTACCTCCTAGTGAAAAGAACCAGTACAGTTTTGGCCGGGTTGACACCCAGACCGTTTTTCTTGGCCCATGATAATAGAACGCTGAGGGCTGATTCCATGAGTTTACCTATTGTGGAAAGAAATTTACATCAAAGTTTAAGTAAAATGTTTCTTAAAGTGTTTTTTATACAACAACGTACTTGATTTTCTTCAATGAAAACTTATGAATGCATTTTTGATCTTAAAGTGCGAGCTTTTGTTTTCATAACAGTCAGACGGACGGACAGAACGACAGTTATACAATTTTTTCCTATTATAAATGTTTGAACGTGTGTCAGCTCTTTAGCAATTCTAATCAATTTTTATTATTTCTAGCATATACAAAAATACACAGTATTTCGTTTCGCAACATTTTTTTGTTTCTTTTTTTTTTTTTTGGAATAAAATAAAGAAGTTGCTTACAGATGCCACAGTAGCATAGCGCACGTACTATAGTATCTTATACCTGACACTTTTGTGTCTAAGTGTGTGTAGAGATGGCACTACATAGCTGTTCTACATATGTTTTCTATAGCTACAGTTTATACCTAGATATACACTTTTAAACATTTATAGTGTTTATTTATTTATTTTTCCGTTTTCTTCTATACATATTTTGTTTAGACTTTTTCAAGATTTTTTTTGTTGGTTCTCCTGCTCGTGCTTTAAGCATGAGTCGTGTCTGCGTAAATGAAAATCACACGCTTGGGTAATATTTGGCTTCACGTTTTGTTTTCCTTTATATTTCTGCTAAAAGTGTGTATATATTTGTTTAGGTATATTTAGTGGCTATGTGTATGTGTGTGGGTGTCTGGGCATAAGAATCTTTAAATTTTCCTTTACAAAGTTCACCTGGTTTTGTTGTTGTTGTTGTTTTCCTATTTTTGAAATCAAAAAATCAGCACGCATAGAAATAAATTTATTTCCGTTTGTCATTAAATTGTTTTCCGATCACATAAATATACACAAAACTTCACAGTTACCGTCCGTGTCTGGCTGTTTATATGTTATAAAGATTTTTGTCTATGTCTGCGTTTAAATCAATATTGGTGTGATTGATTTCCGTTTTCCGTTTTGAGGTTTTCCTTTTATTATTATTTATTTGTTTGTGTTTGTTTTACGAGCCAAATAAGATTTCTGTGGCTATGAGAAAACAAAAACCTTCTTCATGTCATCTCTGTTAGACAACTATTAGATTTTATCTGCCTATTGCTAAGTCCTTTATATAGCTGTTTTTAAGTTGTGGGCCAAAAGGTGTGTGTATTACTGTTTATACTTACCTTCTCTACGGGTTTTCTCTTTCTTTTTGTTTATTTAGTGTAAATTAGGGTTTACATAATTTAAAGTTGTCTAAAACCCCATAAATGTGGGAGTTATAAAGTTTGCATTTGACCCATTTCACACGTTAAGTTTAAACTTTTGCTCTACATGCCATGATTTTACAATTAACATAAACTTTGTTATAGATTTTTTATGTTTATTTTCCTGTCTAATAGGTTAAACTAACAAAATATAAGAGAAAAAGTTTGAGAATTTTTTTTCGCTTAACAGAACCTTTATAATCCTTAAGTAAACTTTCTTTTAACTTGACCGCACAAAACAAATAAAAAAAGAACTTTTTTTCTAGTAAGCTTAAGATTTTACTTTTTTAAATTTTTAATACCCATAAACTTTGAAAAGAAAATCAAATCTGATATTAAAAAAAGAAAGAGTTTTTTTTAAGTAAACATTACTTTAAAAAAGGCAATAAATATTAATTTTTGTTTAACTTTTTGCTTATATTTTTAGAACGCCATTGTACCCGCTGATTATCGCATACAATCACCAGCATCGGGCTCTCCATTGCCCCTAACCAATACCACAAATACAGATCTCACAGTGGCCGTTTTAACAAATAATACAAATGCTGTTAATTCTGTATCCGGTAATGCCAATACCGCCGGTGGTCCCAATACAGTTTTACGTGTTATAGTCGAATCTCAATTGTATCCCGTTTCCTTGGATATCTTACATCAAATATTCCAACGTTTCGGCAAAGTTTTAAAAATTGTTACATTTACAAAAAATAATACATTCCAGGTAGGTTTAACTATATAATACTTATAAAACGTGAGATTATTACATTAGTATTTCCTTATCCCATTAGGCGCTCATACAATATCCCGATGCCCATTCGGCTCAACATGCTAAAACTATTTTGGATGGTCAAAATATTTATAATGGCTGTTGTACGCTACGTATTGATAACAGCAAAATGACTACGCTCAATGTTAAATACAATAATGATAAGTCACGCGATTTTACAAATCCCTCATTGCCACCTGGTGAACCGGGTGCCGATATTATGCCCACCGCTGGCGGTTTAGTAAATGCCAATGATTTACTATTGATAGCGGCCCGTCAAAGGCCCTCATTAACAGGTGATAAAATAGGTAACACTATCCACTTTCCTTTATTATTTCGTTGTGTTCAAACTGTTTAAGATGTATGAGTTTGTTTTTTTATTGGCATTTTGAGTTGTTTTTTTTTTTTTGTAAAGTTCAGCAAAAAAAGTTGAAACGATTTGGAAGTGGTTCTGTAATGGGAGTCGTCTTAATGGAATCAACATTAGTTGTAAAGTTTTTACATTTGAGTAAAGTTAAAATTTTGTGTAAAATTTTACATAATGTTTAAAAATTTTACATTTAGTATAAAATTTTACATGTACAAAATTATGTTTTGTCTAAAATCTAGTTAAAATTTAAATTTTAGTTCAAATTTTACATTTCAAAAATTTGTATAAAATTTAACATTTTGTGTTAAATTTGATATTTTGTAAGTTTTTATATTTTTCGTGTGTAAAATAAGATTTTTTTTTTACTTTATGTAAAATTTTACAATTTGGTTAAGATTTTTTGTTAAATTACACATTTTGTGTTATGTAACACATTTTTTGTAAAATTACACAATTTGAAATTTTTTGTAAAATTATACAAATTTTGTGTTTTATAGAATTTTTCTGTAAAATTACACATTTTGTGTTATATTACAAATTTTTTGTAAAATTACACAATTTGAAAATTTTTGTAAAACTATACATTTTGTGTTATATTACAAAATGTGTTATATTACAAATTTTTTGTAAAATTACACAATTTGAAAATTTTTGTGAAATTACAAATTTTGTGTTATATTACACTTTTTTTGTAGAAATAACTTTTTGTGTTATATTACGCATTTTGTGTTATAATACACATTTTTGTAAAATAACACATTTTGTGTTATATTACACATTTTTTGCAAAATTACACATTTTGTGTTATATTACACATTTTTTGTAAAAATACACATTTTGTATTATATTACACATTTTTTGTAAAATTGCAATTTGAAATTTTTTGTAAAATTATACATATTTTGTGTTTTATAGAATTTTTTTGTAAAATTACACATTTTGAGTTATATTACACATTTTTTGTAAAATTACACAATTTTTGTAAAATTACACAATTTGAATATTTTTTTAAAACTATGCATTTTGTGTTATATTACACATTTTTTGTAAAATAGCACTTTTTGTGTTATATGACGCATTTTGTATTATTTTACACATTTTTTGTAAAATTACACAATTCGAAAATTTTTGTAAAATTATACAAATTTTTTTGTGATATAAAATTTTTTGTAAAATTACATATTTTGTGGAAAAAAACATTTCAACTGCTTTCAAATCTATCACAATTTCTTTGCTCGAACATTGTTTAAAATTTAATTTATAATTAACTTTGCCTACCATAAACAACAACAACAAAATATTATACTAATATTAATAAATATAAAACAATTTAATTACTTTTTTTTTTGCATTTATGTTTTATTTTTGTTACTAAAACTTTTCTTTAATACTGTTACTAACAACCTCAAAGCTGTGATGTCTTGAGTAATTAATAATTTATTTTACAATTTAAATAAAAAACCATAAACATATTAAAAAAAATTAATAAACTAATTTTGTATTTAACTTTTTCCTGTTTTCCAATTTATAGTAAATGGTTTAGGAGCACCCGGTGTGTTGCCACCATTTGCTTTGGGCATAGGTACTCCCTTGGCTGGAGGCTATAGCAGTGGTATACCCAATTTGGGTGCATTTGCTCTTGCCAATAGTGGTGCTTTACAAACAGCCACCCCTGCTTTGCGTGGTTTCTCAAATGTCTTGCTTGTTTCGAATTTAAATGAAGAGGTAAGTGTTTGCTAGGCAGCAAGTTTTCTCTTTTAAATTAGTTTTTCTTTTTAGATAAAAATGAAAGATATTTAGTTTATTTCTTTAATTTATTTTATATATTATTTTAAATTCCCCTTAGTATTTATATTAAAAAGTAATTAGTTTTAAAAAAAATATATTTATATAATAACAGACTTTACTTTTAATATTATTAATTTAAAAAAAATTAAATTATTTTTTCCCCAACAACTACAAGTTTTTAAAATATCATTAGTAGTGTATTTTATTTTTCCTTATATAAAAAAAAATAATAAATAAATATATAGTAACCCAAAAAAAATCAATAAAATCTATAAAACTTTTATCATGCAAACAATTAAATGCATATACAATTGTTTTTTTTTTATATGTTCATTTTATTTGTTTGTATTGTATTGCATTTCCATTTTTCCCACATTTTCCATTTCAAATTTTATTCTCAAAACTATTGCGCTTTTGCTTTTTTTTCATATTATTATATTTTGTTGTATAAACAGCAACAGAAAATAAAAATGAATTCATTTTATTTCAATTTCATTTAAATTTTCATGCTCATATTTCACATGCTGTTTGTTTTTATTTTTTTAGTTTATTTTTATGATTTTATTTGTTTCCCCTATTTTTGTGTGTTTTTTTCTAAATTCTAATAATTAAAAAGTATTTTTCATTTTAATTAATAATGTTCTAAATTTCATTAATTAATAATCATTAAAAAAAGGTTTAGAAATGGTTGAAACTTAAATGCTTTCTACAGACCATTTCACCTATAAATCTCAGTCTCTCAGATGAAAGCATCTGTTTTTAAATGGTCCTTCGAACCATCAATCAAACTACTGTTTAACGTCATATAGCTTTAACAATATTAGTTGAATTCACTTTATCGGTGTTCTTTTTCAAAGAAATCATTAGACGTTTTAAGATTTAATACTGTTTCAAAAAAATTTTTCATATTGGTCCTTCGAACCTAAATTATACATTGAAAAGTTGAAAATTAAAAATTTTTCTGGGTTTTTACCAAAGTATTTTAAAATCATTTAAATATTTTATACAAAAGCGTAATTTGTTGGTAAAACTTCCAAAAACTATTTGATTTTAAATCATACAAAAGACTTTTGTTAAAACAATTAATTTCTTTCATTGTTTATTTGATTTTGTTTAATTTTACCAAAAGTTTTGTTAAATCAAACAAATCTGTTGTTAAAAGTTTTTAATGTTTTTGTTAATTAACTAATTTCATAAGAAATTATTTAATTACTTTAATAAAATTGTTTTATTGGAAAGAAATTCTTTTTTTTTATTTTCTCCCCCTATTTTATGTGTTTTTTATTAATGTTTTATTTTTGTTTAATATCATTTTAATTTTTAATTTCATTTATTTTACATCAAACTCTTGCTAACTAAATCTCTCTTTTTTCTCTCTTTTTTTCTGTAGATGGTCACGCCTGATGCTCTATTTACCCTCTTTGGTACGTCTGCACAAATAATTTTTTTTTTTAATTAAAAACATTTTAATTTAGTTAATTTTTTTTTCGAATACAAAAAGAAAAAGTGATAATTTGTTAGATTTTCTAGATAAAGTAGTGGTTTCACAAACGATGTTTAAAAATTAAATAATTGAATGCCTGTTTAGGTATTGGTCCTTCGAGCCAAATATATAGTGTTAGTGAAACAGGGGATATTTATAAATTTTTATCATTTAATCCTTTGTAGATTGATGTTAAAGCTTTTAATTTATTGTTCAATTTTTCTTGACAATTCCTAAAGTTATTAATTTATCCCCAAAATGGCTGTTAATTAATATCAATCATACGTATAGTATAAACAAATTGTTAAAAAAAAAACTTAACTCCTTTTAAAGAAGAAATTAAGAACAATTTTAAAGTCGCCAGCAATTTTTAAGAAATATTTTCCTAAAATTTAATATTTATGGCCCTACGAGCCAAGACTTTATAAAAGTATTAAAAAAATCTTAAACTATTTTCCTAAAGTTTTCATAAACATCAATTTTTAATATAATTTTAAAAGGTCTGTAATTTATGGAAAAAATTCTTATATTATGGTCCTTCGAGCCAAGATTTCTTAACAGTTATAACGGATATTAAAAAAATCTTTATTCATTTTTTAATTAAATTTCTAAAAGTTCAGGATTCTTTTTCTTATAGTGAAACCATTACAATTTGATCTCTTTTACATTTTTTTCAATAAGTTTTAATTTACATTTTCCTTTCTTTTTTTAATGAACATGATAGCTTAAGTATTTTCTATAACTTTTAATAGTTTTTTTACTATATTATTCGGATTTATAAATATTGACATTTTAATCATTTAAATCATATAAACTTATTTCCTTTTGAGCAGTTATAAAAAAACAAAGTTTACAAACAAATTTCAAATTGTCGTTTTTGGGTTTAAGTTTAAGCAGCTTAAACTTAAATTTAAAAATAATAATTTAAAAACAAAAAAATCGACAATATTTTTATATAATATTTTCTTGCACAAATCTTCTTAAGAAGTGATTAATATTTAAACAAAATAAATTTATAAAACTTAAACAAAAAGTGCAACTAAAATTAAAACCAAACGAATACAAAGGAATTGAAAGAAAATAGAGAATAAAATATAAAAATGTATATTTTTTTAAAAGAAATTGAAAAAAATCTACAAATTGCTTTCGTAGAATGCAAGAAGAAAAAAAAAAAAAACAAATGAAATGAATATGAATGAGTAGCTACGGTGGGTTAAAAAAAGTACTAAAATAAACTTAAAGGAAAAATACAAAATCCTAGATAAGCTTTAGCTTTTTAAAATTTGTTTAACCCACTGTTCAACCATAAAGAAGGCAAAAAGAAAACAACTCTATCGAAATCAATTTTAACTAAATAAATTATTTACGAAACAAAACATAAAAATTGTTTTAGAATTGTTTTGTACATGGAGTAAAATAAAACAGCAATTTGCACGTTTTAAAAGTGCAAAAACGTATTAGAGAAAAAAAATGAAACCCATACACAATTTTATGCTAAAAACCATTTAAAATAATGTTTGTGTTAAACACTTTAGCTTAGAGGGTCTCCTCTTAATAAACACATGAAATTGTTTAATCTACATTACTTTTTGTTTACGAGTTTTGAAAACAAATAACAGTGTGGCACATAAAATTAAACAGGAAATACTCCAAGAAAAGGTCCTTCGAAACTCAATTTATCAATACTGCAACAACTTCTTATTACCAATAAGTGTGTGTTAACTTCTAGCTTAAACTATACTATTTCATTTTGCTTAAAAATTATTAATTTTCTCATAACTTTTGAGCTTATTTTATTACTTTTTTTCACAAAGTTTTAAAACTTTATTAATAGCCTCCTGTGTCTCATCAATTCTATAGTTAACTGTACTCTCCTTAGTACCAGCAAATGCTGCTATTTTTCTAGCAAAATGTAATAACATACAAACTAAGTATATTTTAACAATACATATTTACTTCTTTAGTCTAAAACTATAAATAAAAGAGCAACTCTCCTCCTGTTGCTTTCCAATACAAGTTTTGCGTGTTTCGATATTTTTTTCCTCCAGAAAAGTTCGAAATAATTTTCCAAAAGGAAATGAATTGTATATTAAGTTGTGCATGCTGGTCATAAATGAAAACAGCACAAAAAAAACAACAAATAATTCATTTTTAAATAAATTGCTAAAATACAATTGTGGCATGCTGCTGTTAAGCTCTAAGTTTAGGAAAACACAGCTTCCTTTTGGCTGCAAGTTTTTTCATTTTGCATTTTTTGTGTGATAATAGTCAATATACACGGTAAAAACCACAAAAACCAGCGTGCGCTAAATATTGCTATTCCTGTTTTTTTCTCCTGTAGTTTGAAGCATTTTAAACGAATCTAACTGTTTGTGGCATCTAGAGAAAAAAATGGAAAATTAATCAAGGTTTTTTATAGATTTTTTTGTAGTTCATGGTTTAGTGTTGGTATTTTGAACAGAAGTTAATGGTTTTATAATAAATATTATTAATTTTATTAGTTTGATAAAAGGTATAGTAAAGGAATGTAATTTTTAAGTATAAATAAAATATTTGTATTTTTAATGTTAATATTTCATTGTTTCCATGCGAAATACTAATAACGATTTTCTTCTTATAATACAATTTAATGATAGTCTATAGTGTTAGCTTTGCATTAGTTCTTTTAGTTAAAAAATTTTTTAAGAGGTTTTAAAGTTATTTAAATTTTCCCGCAAAAACCTTTAAATTAATATTAATCATACGCCATGTATTCCTACAAATAAACAATCTTATTTTGCAGGTTTTAGCGATTTAAATGAAAAACTTTATTTGCAAATAATTAAAAGTTAAAGTGAAAACTGCAAGGTTATAATTTGTATCATGTTGTAGTTAGTATCATATCATATGTATGTGAAAGAAAGGTGTAATTTTTCATTGAATTTCTTTTCAAAATTTCATCTCATAGTTATTTCTATTCTTATTTGAAGTCTTACTCAGGCATGGAAAAATCTGTATTTTAGTATTTCTTAGTACTTTTTGATATCGAAGAATACCGCGCTACCCGCATGACATTTCGGTATTCTAACTTACAAACTTTTACTAAATAGTCCACATAGTAGTTAGTCATATATATAGCATATAGTATAGTCTAGTTTATAATCGATTATTTAGTCTAGTTTAGAGTCTTGTCTATATTTTAATCTAATCTATAGTATAATCTATAGTCTAGTCTTTAGTCTAGTCTATAGCCTAGTCTGTAGTCTAGTCAATAATCTAGTCTGAAGTCTGGTCTGTAGCCTAGTCAATAGTCTTGTCAATAGCCCAATAGGTATAGTCTAGTCTATAGTCTAGTCTATAGTCTAGTCTGTAGTCTAGTCTATAGTCTAGTCTATAGTCTAGTCTATAGTCTAGTCTATAGTCTAGTCTAAAGTCTAGTCTATAGTCTAGTCTATAGTCTAGTCTATAGTCTAGTCTAAAGTCTAGTCTATAGTCTAGTCTATAGTCTAGTCTATAGTCTAGTCTATAGTCTAGTCTATAGTCTAGTCTATAGTCTAGTCTATAGTCTAGTCTATAGTCTAGTCTATAGTCTAGTCTATAGTCTAGTCTATAGTCTAGTCTATAGTCTAGTCTATAGTCTAGTCTATAGTCTAGTCTATAGTCTAGTCTATAGTCTAGTCTATAGTCTAGTCTATAGTCTAGTCTATAGTCTAGTCTATAGTCCAGTCTATATTCTAGTCTATTGTCTAGTCTATAGTCTAGTCTGTAGTCTTGTCTATAGTATAGTCTATAGTCTAATTTTTAGCCTAGTTTATAGTCTAATCTGTTGTCTGGTCTAAAGTCTAGCCTATATATTATTACATTGAAAGCTACACAAGTAATTAGTGTATAAAATATATTTTAATTTGTTGAAATTCTTCTGAATTTGAAAATTTGCAAATTTTCTTCGGGTGTAAGAACGCAATTTCCAAATTTTCTTAAAGTATTTTCTGCGATTTCATGATATTATATATGAGTTTTAATTCTTCAATTAATTCAAAGTTAACTAACCTTTCTCGTAAAAAAGTAAGAAATAAATATTAATCGTACGTCTAGCTGTCTAAAAAAATTACTTCGCTATTAAAGTTTAATGTTTTGAGTTGTCTTTTTTTGTTTAACTTTTAAATATTTAAAATATTCACTAAACTTGAAATGTTATCTTTAACAAAACTCCATTAATGTCACCAAAAGTTTATTTTAAATTAAAATTTTATTTTGAAGAGGAAAAGCAAAAAAACACTTACCTAAATACCCAACAGCAAACACACTACAGCTACTAACTAACTTCATTTTGATAAAAAAAAGAACTATTTGTTCAAAGAATAACAATACAAAGACACAACATTTACTATTACAACAATAACTTAATACTTACAATGTTAAAAAAAAGTTAGAAATAACAACAACGTGAAAAAAGTAGTAGAGTAGTAATAGTAGTAAAACTAACAAAGTCCAAACTATGCTGTAGAAGTTAGAGTGGGGGTGGCAAGAACAGCAACAGTATTGGGGATTTTATATAAAGTTTATTTTATTTCAATTCTAATTGTAATTGTAATTCAGGTATTAAGCCAACAACTAGTATAACACAGTAAATGCAGCAACAAGAATGTTAAGTAAAAGGAAGTATTGTCTGTTGTAAAATAATGGTTATAGAATAAAATACAACAACTAGAACATGAGAACAAAAATAAAAAATAAAATAATAAAAAAAAAAAAATCTAACGAGATGTTGAAAAAATTATATACAAAGGACTTTTCTCATTTGATGCACACAATAAAGCACAGCATTACAGACTCATATAAATTCACAATATTTTTTTTTTTTTCGTTTTTTCCATGGTTTTACAGTTGTACAGTTAAGGGAAAAGTTATAGCAGTGTTGCTAAAGAGTGTTGTTTAAAATTTAAAGAAAATTTTAAAATA